GGGCCGAGCGCTGGGGCAGTACCTGGGCGGCACCGAGATCTGGGGTTAAACTGCGCTCATCACCATCAGCTGAAAGGCTGAAAGCAACCAGGCGTTCATCGGACATGTTCTTCTTCCAAGAACACCGAAATGACGGCGTACAGGGCCGCACATCCGTGCTGTGGCAGGCCCAGCCACATGTCCGGTCACAGCCCTTGGCTATGGGAAGGTAATGCAATCTTTTCACATCACTGTTTATTTATTTTTGATGTCTCATTTTCATATCAAAACCCACTTCCAGTTCAGAGAAAGAAACCATTCGATGCACAACAAGCTTTTTTGTGCTTTAGACACAGCAAGGCCCTGGAGCACTCAGAACAGTCCCTACAGCTGCCCCAGCTGGTGGAGCATCTCCAGCATCTCCCAGAAGCAAGGGCAGCAGCACAGAAACACCTCTGGAACCCTTCCCTGCTCCTCGGCAGGACTTGCTTTCCAGGCCTGCTTGCAGAGCAAGGTGTTTGAAGGGAAGATGGAACTGTTTCGTTTGCAATGGAACAGCTGCTTCGTTTTGAACACAGCAAGTCTTCATTTCAGAGCCATTTTATGAAAGTAGTTATTTGATTTAAAGGAGAAAAGAGGCATGCAGAAATCTAACTAGTGCTGTTTCAATGTGCAAAACAAGGTTACTACCAAAGTGAAAATCCTTGTCTTCCTCCAGAGGAAAATGCAGTAAAATTTAAAATATACTCTAAAAATTGCCACAAAGAAGTCACGGTTTGTTTTTCTATTAGAAACACTTAAAGGTTTTTAAAAAGCATATTAATTTCACAAGTCACAAGCTACATCTTGAAATGAGACCAAAAAAATAAACTTTTTCTTGGTATTAAAATACAGGAGGTAAAAATGTGGAACAAAACATAACAGAACTACAGGTGGCCTGCACCTGGATGAATGGAAAATATTAAGTTTAGCTGCTTTACTTCCTACAGTAGCTGTAATAAACAATGCTCAGCTGAATGAAATTAACAAATGCATTTAAAAGGAAAAGTCTTCCACTGCATGTCCCATTAAAAAAAAATCAATGCACAATTAATCAATACAAAAAATGTAGTTCTAGCCTGAATACTGAAGGTACTGCAGGTTTCCTGAAGTCATCACAGCAATCCCTGATTCCTTGAACATTGCTGGAATACAGTCTCCCTGCCCATCCAGTAATGTGTGCAGCTCCCTGAGTATGAAGTTTTAGTAATTTACTTTTCCAGATTTTCATTTTTGCAAGCGTCATCAGGCTTCAGCAGATTTAATATTTTAAGACAGACTGATATTCTCTCCCTTTGAATAGCCAATCTTGTGAATTCTGGAGTTCTGGAGAACTCTGGAACTGGAGGTAGGGCTCCAAGAAGGTGTTCAATGCGCTGGGCTTGGTCCAGTGCTATTCCTGATAGATGATTAAGCTCCCCATGATCTGGTAAGGTGAGGTGAGTCACTGATACAAGATGTAGAAGGTGCTTACTCAGTTGTCTCACATGAGTCAGCTTCTCTGCCCAAAAATTCACTTCTCCTTTATCAAACAGGGAATCATCTTCTTCCTTAACAAAAAGAAAACCAACTGTGATTAGAAAATGACTCGTGGTTTGATAACACCAAGAAAATCATAAAAGATATGGAAAAGGATATATATAGAAATGATGACTGAGGCTGTCATAGAACAGCTTTCTATATTAAAAAACAAGGTAAACATTCATATGCCTTTTCTTAAAGGTGTGGGAAAACACAGTAAAAAGGTTCCTACTTTACCCAAAAATTTTACCTTCAAAGATGAGGCAGTTATGGCACAAGTCTTGGGAAACAGTGGAAGTAAATAGCAGCCCTAATCCTTCACATGTGCTTGCCTTCCCCTATGAAACAGTATTATATTTCACAAAGACCTCTGTAAGCAGTATGGTGATTTGCTATATCATGGAGCTTTTTGACTGGATTAAATTAAAATTGCATCAGTCAGTCAAACATCAGAAATGCACACCTAAACTACAGACTTGAGAAAACATTCATTATATATTTCATGGGTCATATTAATTGCCAACAAACTTCTAAAAGATGTAGCTGCTCCTGCTGGTTTACCTGCCAGCTTTATTTTGACTTTTCCAGTCTTTTCAAGACAAAAAGAGCACAGTGTATTTATACAGTAACACCTTTCACAGAACCAGTGTGGCAAAGCTTTAACAGAAACAATCCTGAAGTCAATGACTGATGTAAGCAAGACTGTTTCATGTGTGGTGCAGAACCAGTCACGTGGATGGTGGCATAAAGTTACCAAATATTTAAATGCCATCTCTGGGAAAGCCAGCATTGGTAGAACACTGTTCTTGAAAACCCATATGTGCCTGGCATCCCCAACAACAGTTTAAATTCAAGGGAAACCATCATCTGCAATAATACTGAATGTAATTACATCATAGCCTCAGAATGTTTCAGTCAACAATGCCTTGTGAAGTAACTTGATTTATTTCAATGTTTGCTTATTGATCTCTTTAATTTTATGCTGGTATTACCAGGAAACAGACATTAAACTCTTTTCATTCTAAATAATATCCATGTGAATTCTTTAAAAGACTGCAAATCAGTTAGTACTGCAGTAGCAATTATCAGGTTTCATCAGATGAGACATTTCATTCTATTCCTACCACAAGACTGCAGAACTGTAGTGCTTCTAACATGCTATAGCAACTGCTTGTTAAAATTACCAGGGCAGAAGTGTCCCCATCTCTTTGCAGGTCAGTGTCTCCCAAAAGCCACTCCAGCAGGACTGGGACACCGGCATGGATCTCCCCCCACCGCTGGAGCAGTTCACACACTATGCCAAAGGCTAAATCCAGGGCCATTGGAGCATTCACTATCCTAAAGGCAAATTCTGTGGAGAGAAAATATGTGTAAGAATATAGAGCAAGACCGCAAACATTTTCAAATAAAATCAGCACAAAAATGATTTCTTGAAAACAGATGCTAAACTTACACAAACTCGTGCAGAATGATAAATTATACGGCAAATAAATTAGATGGGTGTTTACTTCTGTGCCCCTTGGGGCCTTCACTCAATTCCAGAATAATACATGAAGCAACTCAAAATGCTGATGCTTAATTTTTTTTCCCTCCTGCCCATGTAGTGACATTTATTAATCTGGGTTTAAATATACAGATATGTCTCTTAGAAACATCTCCACACAGTCCTGTCACTATTACATGGTGACCATTTTTGCCAAGCAACAGCTATGCCTTGGATCTCATGTAAGGTTTTCACTGGAACTCAAAACCTACAACACATGATATGTTTTTAAAGGGCTGGGATATAAAATGAGTAATTATGCAGTGTGTAATCTCTTTATATATAATAAGATATACATATACACACACACACATGTAAGAGAGATCAGGCATGAAGACAGGCTTAGAAAAGATGTTTGAGAAGGGAAAAGCAGACACTGTTTATGACCCCATCACAGAGCTATATTTATACAGGTTTTGGCATCATGCCAGAGCTGTACACAAAGCTATCATCCACACTGCATTTCTTCCCTGAACTTCCTCACTGCTCTCATTTGGGGAAATGCTGATTTAACTCTCTGGGTCCTACTCTGCTTTGAAAACAGAGTATATAAAAATGCTACAAATCCTGTGTGTCCACAGGTAGGAGTTTCTTCACTTGTAACTTTAATGTAATTTTTTTTTCTTTTTAAAAGGGCTGCAGGAAGAGGACCAGAAGAGGACAGCTAGTGGACAAGCCTCTAAAATCCCTATTACTGTAAAAAGGATTTTGGCAAAACTAATCCATGTCCATAGTCACCAGCAAACTGAAAAATGTTCAGTGAATGATCTAAGTAGTGGTACATAAGGACATGCCATTCTTGATGGCTGTAATCTGGGACCAGACAACACAGCAGAGTCAGAATTTGGTAAGAATCCACACAGATTGAGAAGGCACACTTTACTTTTTGTGTGTGACTGTATTTAGGAATTTCTCCTGAAGGAGAACAACCATCTACATGGAAGAGGCACAGCAGTGCCACCAAGACTTCTCCCTCAGAACCCACATTCAGAGCTAGGGCATGGACCCCTGTGCTGTGACCCCTCCCAAGGCCTCAGGACAGCTGCAGCTTTTCTGGGGTACATTGGCACAGCAGATAAACTCACATTAAAACACCAGGATTAGGCAAATGCACATGCCAAAGAGTAGGGAAACATCTAAGGGCACAACAGACCGATGGAAAGATGAGTACATGCACTTGACAGACCAGGCAATGTACTGAGGACATTGGGGAGAATGAATTAGTATTTGAGATGATGAGGACAAAGGACCATAATAGGGAAGGGAGTGAAGGAGAAAGAACAGATGGTCCCTTTTTTATCTTGGAGTTAGATGAGGGTAATGGAAATCTCCTTGAACAAGCAACAGGAAGGCAGGCAGTCAATCTCTTAGTGACACTAATAATGTTACATACACAGTTTGTCTCTGCTAGACAGCAAAATCAAATGTTCAAATCTGTTTTCTTCATATCAGGAATTATCTTATTATCAGGACACCCCTGAGTTTTTTCTGTGAGGGAGTGCTTGAGAAGTGGTGTAGTGTGACATTTCCATCCCATTTATTTTAGGTATTGGGGTTTTTAAGTATTGTTTTTGATGACACTCCTTTCCAGGAATTTGTTGGGGATTTTTTTTTTTTTAATGTGGGGTGTGTGTTTGTTTGCTTGAGGTTTTTTGAGTTTTTTGGTGGTTTTTTTGTTTGTTTGTTTGTTTTTTTTTTAAACTTGCTTTCCCTGTTGCTGTGTCCCATTTGGTACCAGTCTGATACTCTAAATAATGGACACAGTGATTGTCTTTTTTGTTTTGGCTTGCTTAGGCTTAGATAGGAAACAGTTTCATTGAAGTGCAATAGGGACACCTCAGCAATACTGGCAATCTTCAGAGCTGAAAAAACAGAGATCAAATGGAGTGTGGTGTTCTGAGCCTGAAACAAACATCCTGGTTATGAATGCTTACAAAACACAATATTTTAAACTCAACTCTTTTGAATTCTTATGATATTTTGGAGTTTTATGATGATTCCTGAATGTCTAGGATTTTAAGTATTTATATAAGGCCTGTTTCCTTATGTCACTTTATTTGTATTGGAATATTTAGCAGATTAGGTGATGCTGAGAGCTAGAAACCAAACATGATACTTCCCACTGCTGTTAGCTGTTGCTTTGGAGGACCAATTATAGATAGCACTGCCAGTTCTGGGGCCTTTTTAACATTTAGTCTCCTTAAGTATAAATACATACAGTGATGCTCTTTTTGTGGATGAGAACGCTGAACTGCTGAGAAACGCATCAAGAAATAGATGGGAGCCTCTAATTGTGGTATTACGTGACCATGCTGAAAACTACCAAGAGGTAGCAAAACAAGTAATGCTGAGGTTCTGCTTAGACTAAACTTGCTTGCTAGCAGTTTTTCAACAGTATGACACAGAAGAAAAGGCAGTTTTGTGGTCACAGAGTATAGCAGTCTAGTAGAGAATCCTACAAGTTGCAACAAAGGAAATGGCAAGTCCTTTTTTTTTGCTGGTTTTTTTTTTTTCTTCAAACTAAAAAAGAATACAGGAAAGGATATGTAGCATCCAGGAAAAACTTGAAGATCCTGAACACACGGACCACCTTTCTGTGAACTGCAGATTCTGCAGCCATTTAACTGATCAACAAAACTTGTGTGTCAGTTCTGGTGTTGAGACCCGACAAAACAAAGCAACATCGCTTTGAAAACACTTTAACTTAGGGTTCCAAAATCTGGCTAAGAGTCTGCCTACCTTGCAAGGGCTTTGTGTTAGAGAAGCTAATATAGCAGTATCTTGGTACTTCAGGTGCTCACAGAGACTCAGCAACATACCAGTGTCTGGCAGATGAAGAATTTTCACTTCCACCCGCTCATTCCATCCCACTCCTGCAGAGTATCAGGAATGGCTCCGTGATCTCTGAAATGCTCCCTCAGCTGCTGTTACTTACAGAACACCCTGATATTAACTGACTTTGATACCAGTTTACACAAATCTGATGCTAGACTATTTCAGGATTAGATTTGTGGACAGTCAATGCTACACGGATAATTAAGAGATATAGCATAAACCCAAAAGAAATGTATTAACTCTCCTAAGCCTGGAGTGCTGCAATAATGCAAATGGGTAACAGCAAGCAAATTTACATAGGTACCCATGATTTAACAGGTAAAAAACACTTCTACAGGGGGAAAATGTTTTATTGCAACTCTAAAAGTAACTGCCAGGGATGTTGTAAGCATGCATAGAATCTTTGAAGATACTCACAAAAGATGTGTGTCTTGTCAAAAGAAATGTACAGTCTTCACTGTTTACAAGAAGTGCTCCTCACATAATCATCTGCCTGCAAAGGCAGGGCTGATTTTCAAGAAGCCACATATTACACATGATGCTGTGTTTGTGACTCATGCTGTGACTTCAGAGAGTGCTCTGAGCAAGATGCAAGTTCACCAGGGGCAAAAAGGGCAGGTGGCTTCCCTTTCACCACAGCCCCCCCAGGCCCCTGATGCTTAGCTGGGAGCCAGCTCAGGTACTCTGCTGATCACCTGGTAAATGAAGGCTCAGAACAGCACAAAAGGCATTTGGCACGCAGCTCTGGCGTGCGGGCTCTTCTGCCTGGCTGGCAAGCTGAGCTGGTTGCCCTGCAGTCAGAACTGGGGTAGCTGGGGGCCGGGGAAGGGCAGATCACAGGACAGCAGGAGGAAGGAGAAAAGCCAAAGGGAGAGCGAGACCTCCCCGTTCAGCAAGCTGCTAGCCCAGGTCAACAGTCATCCCAAATGTCCCCATCAGAGCCTTGCAAACAAAATGCTGAGATTATTTAAATGAGTGAGTGTTAATAGCCTTTCATAATGCAACTATTTAAAGTAACTGAATAAAAAACCAATTCAAATAGCCAGGGCTCACAGCTGATTACTGCCAGAAGAACTAAACCTGCAAAAACAAAACCTGAAGATGCAGCTAGTGTTATAAACCAAAAATACAGCAGAGTTCCTTCCACAGCAGTTCTACAGACTATCAAAACTGTGTTAAAATATGAGTTTCTTTAAATTTGAACATGTGCATATGTTCCAACATGCAAAAACATCATGAGCAAGATAAGCATCTTAGTAAATAAGCCACTACAGGGGTTGAAATACTAAAAAAATTCTCTATGACTTAAAACAAGTAGTTACAAGCAGAATAGTTAATACTACTCATCGAAATGAAAAATAAAGATAAGAATCAGGTACTACATACTTTTTTCATTTTGAGGAATAGAATTTTCATAAAGGGAAAGGGGTTAAGCACTGTAGTGTTTTGGTCTTTGTGAACCCGCCCACATAAAAATTAGACCTCCCACATACACATTCATATAGTCCAAAAGCTTTGATCATGCCAGATGTAAATATTTCTTCTAGTAGCCTATTACGTGTCCTCCAACTATACAATTGTTCTCTGTTAAAGCCTCGGTGATATTATGGGGAACTGAAAGAATGTATTAAGAGCATATATACACATATTTTATGGACAACCATGATAAAATATAGGCAAAGGAGAAAAGCAGAACATATTCCTTGCCTAACAGCATTTTGTAATTTTTATACCACAAATTGTTAACTGAAGTTCATTCTAGATCAAAGAGCAATCCAATTTTTGTGAACATGTACTGTGTTTGGAGGAAACAGAGAGAAGTGAATCTGCAAGGAAGCTTTGTATAACAGCTCAGAGATAAAATCTCACAAAAAACAGTGTACCAACAGTAGTGATGTTTTCAAGGAAAATATATATGGTATGTTCTTCAACTGAAATTACAGAAAGTATTTCAGGTAGACCATTACCATCTG